CTCAATCTTACCATCATAAGCCTATCACTTACTAACTCTATACTTTTAACGCAGTTTTTTACTCTTTCGCCTAAGACAATTGCAACCCCATTCTGACCCTTTACTTTACCGGAAAAAATCATCTTGACCTTACCACTTGTCAATTCGCCACAACCTTCATACCTAACTTCACATAACCCAACTACATCCAACTTTTTCCTTTCCATCTATCTCTTAAGGTTTTCAAGCTTACCTGCCTGTAGCATCGTTCGAACGTTCCATGTACCAATTGCCAGTTTATTTTCTTTGGTTAGGGGATTTCGCTTGATGACGACCTGAGAAGCCCCTGTTCTCCTCCTGCCGGGCAAGACACTCATACTAAATTTCTGAGTCCCAACGCCACCTAATGCTATATTATTATAATCGTTATCCATATTTGCTGGGAAAAATTTAGTTAGAGCGGTTTTCCCTTTGCCTGCTCTAACCCTTTGGTCCACGGCTCCTTATTCATTATTCAGAGCAACCCTTTAGGGCTTCCCTCATCCGCCACCCGAGGGACGCGCCTGGTTGGGGTTAGGTCCCCCTGTCTGATCTAGAAAGAACAACTGCTCAAGTTGATGCGAAGAGTGTCGACCTTGGTCGTATGGCGGAGCATCTATCACAGCATCAACAGAAGCAATTTCTCTTTTTAGATCAGACACCCAGGTTATCATATGTATCCGACCATAAATATTTCGATTGACGATTAATCTAGAACATAGACAAGCATGAAGTGTTCATATTAAAATTAATTAATTTCTTTTTTATACTCACGTTGTTTATTAATTGTGAATTTGTTCTTGATGGACCTGAAGAAAATTTACTTTTGATAGAGTAAAATACAAATGTTGAATTCTACCGTTATGAGATGTATTTCTTCCATGAATCAATCTTATTCTTGATCTAATTGCAGCTGTTGTACGACAACCAACTCGAAGAACAACTATGATAAAAAAAGAGACTTGTTTAGAAGCAAGAAAACAAAAAAAAACAAGAAAATAGAAGTAAATGCTACCTGTGAACGTTTGTATTTAAAACAAATACAATGATTAACGAAAATCGATGGACTAGAAATAAGACAATCTAAAATAAGAGATATTCAATTCGAATGATTAACTGTCCCGAAAGAACATAGATGATGAATTATCGGAGAACTGTGACATGAGCATCAACAAAAAATACAAATATCTGTGTTACTACAACTGACTATATGTTGAAGAAAAAAAAGCGAATAATGATTACGTATATTCTGTTTTAAAGGAGAAGAAAGAAAAGGAGATTTTTGTGGAAATAATAAATAGATAGACTGACATACAATGCTTAAGAAAGAGTGATCAAATACATATATATATATATATATAAAGAAAACAGTAAATAACAAAATGTATACATTTTTTGAATCATATGGAATGAGCTTCAATTTTTGATATCTATTCAAAAAAAAATTAGTTTATATAAAGAAGAGAAAGAGTATCCATCTAAAATGGACAAAAAGACATCATTTCACCTAATAATTTATTTTTATTTATTTCAATTATTTGTTTTTTTTTGTTCGGGTCTAAACACATAACAATAATTTATATACAACATGGACAAACAAAAAACAAAACATGTAATATGTATCTACAAAACCCATGATGTCATATTTATTTAACCACATCTATTTGCAATATTTTCTCTTTCATCAAATTGATTTAAATCTAATGTAAAACAATAACTAGTAATACAATCGCCGGGCTAGAAAATAAAATTTATTTAAAACCATTTGAATAAAAATAAAAATTTGTTAATATACTTTTGGAAAAATAGCAATAAGTGCACCAGCACGTGAATAAAATTGTTCTTTAAGTGATATAACAATACATTGAAATTTTGATGCCGATTGTTCACGAATAAAATCAGCTACTTTACCAATATTCGTATTATCAAGAGCAACATCAACTTCATCAAGCAAAAAGAGTGGAGCTGATTTAAAACTAAAACAAAAACAAACAAATAAATCGAATTGAATTGAATCAAAAGTTTTTTGAAATAATTACCTTTGGTAAAGCAAATAAAAGACAAATAGCAGCAACAGTTTTTTCTCCACTAGATAAATTTTCCATAGCTTGAAAACATTTACCAGGTGCAGTACAATTATATGTAATACCATCACAATATGATTCTTCAGCATTTTCAGCTGTTAAACAAGCAACAGCATCTTGAAAATTTGTTAATGATTTATAAATATCATCAATACATGTTGAAACATGTTCATAAAATGTATTAAAACGATCATAATGTTCTTTTTCTAATTTTTTTCAAATGCTTGTCTTTTACGTTTAGCTGCATTACGTGTATGTTCAAATTCAGCATTTGTTATTAATTCAAATGTTGTTTTAACTTCACGTGAACATGCATCAATAGCTGATGTTTGTGGTAAATGTTTTTTATAATTGAATTTCAATATCGGACATTTGTTTAATTAATGATTTTCCTTCTTTATTAACTTGTTCATAATTAATTTTCTTTAAATCATCATGTAAACGTTTATAATTTAATTCAAATTTATCTTCTATATCATAGATTTGTTTTGTTTCAAGTTGACTTGGATAATTTCGATCATCATTTGATGCTGTTGATGAATCAGTTGTTGTTGTTGTTGTTGTTGATTGTATTGGAATATTTGTATCATCAGATAATGTTATTTCAGTAAGTAGTATAGCAGTCATTGAACCAGAATTACTAGGAAATGGTAATAAAATTTCATTAAGCTAGAAAGCAAAATGAAAGAATATGACTAACTTATCATACGAACATTTGAAACTTTTAGCAAAACAGACTTTGAGAATAGATATGAACATGATCGTCCTTGTTATATCAGACAAAGTTGGAAACAAATTTTCCCATTGGTGGGCCACCAGAGGGCAATTGGTGGCAATTGCCATACCACAAAAAATATGAAAATTAAAAACTTGCCTAAGAAATAGTATTGGATAAGAAAGTTTGTCAGACATTGCCTTTTTCAATACTAAGAAAGATTCGACATTTATATATTCCACTGGTCAAAAATAGTTTTACAAAGTACTTTTAATATATGATCACTATAAATGAACATTTTGAGACAAGTAATTATATATTCGGATAGGGCGTGGAGTTCTCTGCAATCGTGTATATATTTGATTTAAATTGTATATGCTTATAAAAAAAATACCTTAAAGAATAAAGAACGCACTCTCGTTATCAGAGTCCTGATTACGTTCGATTTTTCTTATCCCTTTTTGTTCATCAGATAAGTAGCAAAGTGAAAACTGAGAAAAATACAGAATGATAGAGTATTTCACCCACTTTCAGAATATAGGCTTACTTTTGTTATAACTTGTTCTTTTGTTGAAAATAAACTTGAAAAAGAAAGAAAGCAGGATAAAAATAGCGTGAAAATTTCAACGAAAGTGCACAAAAAAATGCATTTTCGAGGGATCCAGTGAGGGTTGTATTCATTTTCTTTAAGGTATTTTTTATAAACACATACAATTTAGATCGAACATATACATGTTTCAGAGAACTCCACGCCCTACCTGAATATATAATTACTTTTCTCAAAATGTTCATTTATAGTGATGATTTATTAAAAGTATCGTGTAAAACTATTTGTGGCCAGGGGAATATATCAAGTAGTAACCGATTACACTGCACAGAAAGACGAAACAGCAATGGTTTTTTTAAAATAAATCTTTTTTTTAAATGATATATGTTTTAATTAATTTATTTCAACGGAAAAAAAGAAAGAAAAAATGTCTCGTTTCCAGCATAAATATACATAGTTGTGCAGTATTTTCGCAAAGTTGCAAACGTTTTTTTAAACTCGTAGTAAGACATTAGAGTTTATTGCCATACGTATATTTGGGACGCTGGCCCGCCATTGAATTTTCCAATCATAAGAATCCTGAATCCATGAGTAACTTTTAGGACAGATAGATTTTAATAAGTAGAAGAAAATTTAAGTTTGTTCTATACATTTCTCTTTAAGGCTAACAAAGAAATTTAAAAAAAAGTACCTTAGCTGTACGAAAATAATTATGTTGATCCATACGTAATTTTTCAATATCACTTTCAATGAGTTGTAAATGTTTTCGTTGTTCATTATAATCTTTATTTAATTGCGCAACACATTTTCTACAATCAGCTATTTCACGTTCTTGAAATTCAATTTTTTTCTTTTGATCAAGTAAACGATCTTTTATTTCACTAATTTCATTTTGAAGATCTTCAATAATCTTTAAATAGATGAAAAAATAAAACATCAATTAATTCATATTCAAAAGGAAAAAGTATTCTAATAAATTATTTATACTTTACGATATTTTTTGTTTTTCCTTTTTTTGATACATTTGTAAAACATCTTCTAAATATGTAACTTCTTTTTTTAACTTGTTCAACATGACCAATTGTATCACGAGAACGTTCAAATTCAAGCATTGTTTGAATTTTTGTTATTTGATTTTCAAATTCAAGACGTTCGTTCTTGTGCTCGTTTTTCAGTTGCTTACAAATTCACGATTTTCATAAACACTATCAAAATCAACGAAAAACAAATAATAATTATAATCTTAATAAAAAAAATATCTTACCATATATTCGCTACATGAATTTGTTTTTTTTTACAAAATTCAGCAAATACTACATTCGTTCAATTTTATTTTCTTGTATACATACTTTTGATATACGTTTTTCTTGTTCATCAATTGCTAATTGTAATGCATTGATTTTTGACTGGAATGATAAATTTTATTTATATACGTAGTTTTAACAACAGTGAGTTGTTGGTAAAAATGGATATAACAGTCCTGATCTCAGCAGGACTAGCAATAGGACTAGAATAAAAAAAAGACAGTTCTGCGGATCCACTGTTTTTTGATCTGAACTTAGATTCAGAATTTTTGCGGTGGAAACTTTAACTAATAACTGAACTCTTAGCCTGTTGCACGACTATTTTGTCCAGGATATAAACGAACTAAATTTACCTCATATGTTTCAAGTTTTTCTTTAAAATCTACAAGATCTTTATCAATTAAAATTCTTTTTGTTTTTTCTCAGCTGTTTCTTGATCAGTTCTTGAATAATGTAAACGACTTTCAAGTTGTTGTAATTGTGATCTGAAAAAAAATCAAGATAATTCAATTTGTTTATTCTATATGTTAATTTTCTACAAACCATCGATTAATTAATTCAGCTTCATGTTGTTTTTTTCTTTTGTTGTTCTTTATATTCATCAAATAATTTATCTTTACGTAAGCGCAATGCATCAAGATGTTTTTCATCCCATCGCTTAGGCCGAGCTTTTAATTCACTATTAATTTAATTAAAAAAAAGATAAATAAATTTCTTTTTCTATTTATTTTTTCCCTACCTTGATCCACCAGAAATAATATCTGATTTACTAAATAATGTTCCATTTAATGAAACAACTTTATTTTTTTGACTTTCACTTTCATATGCAAATTTACGAGTATCTTCATCATTATCACAAACAAGTGCATTACCACATGCATAAAGTAATGCTTTATAATATTGTTTATCATATTTAATAACATCAAGAACATGTTTAACATTTTTTGGTTCTTGTAATTCACTAATAAAAAAATAAATTTTTATTTTTTATTAAAGTAAAAAAAAACAAAAAATGTAAACGAACTGAAGTTGTTCATTAACTAGTGTTACTTTAATATAATCAAGTGGTAAAAATCTTTCAGGTTCATAACGATGTTCTTTCATATAATGTAAATATGATTGAACTGTTGTTTCATGTCCAACAACAATTGAATCCATATTACGACCAAGAACTTTTGTTATTGCCAATTGACAACGTTTATGATTTGGTTCACATAAATCAATCAAGCGACCATACTAAATAATATTAAATTTATTATTACATAATTCGATATCGAATCAATGCTAATTAGACATTCAAATTTTTTTTTTAATTTCGACTGAGGCTAAGAAAATAGCGAATTTTTTCTATCAGAATCTGATGCAATTTAATACATACCACGCCTGGAAATTGTTTAAGATTTTCAATAAGTTCAGCCCGTCATTGTGCTCGACTTGTTTCATTTCGATCAGACTATGTTTAAAAAAATAATATAATTAAACTAAATTTATTTTTAAATAAATACTTACTCGAAACTTTCACCAATTTCTTTATTAACTTGATCAAGTTCTTCTTCAAGTTCAGCACAACGTTTTCGACCTTGAGAAACATCTTTTTCAAGTAATTGAACATTTGTTTGTTTTTCATTAAATTCTCGTTCAAGATTACTATCAAACAAAAAAATTCTTTTTTTTTTAAGTTTAGTAAATATATTTTATTTCCACCCAATTTATCAATTTTTCCATTTAATTCTTCAAAACATAAAACTGTTTGTTTTATTCTTGCCATATGATCTTTTTGACTTATTTGTTCTTGTTCAAGATTTGTTTTATCAACTTGTTGTTGACGATCAATTAAATCATATTCTTCAGAAAATTGTGTCATTTTTTTTTGCTACTTCTTCTTCTAAACGTCGATATTCTTTCATCTAATTTTAAACAAAAAAATAATAAATTTCCATATTTTTTTTTAATAAAAAATTTACTTGATTTTCTTCTAATGCTAAATTTCGTCCACTATGATGTGATTCATTTTTTAATTTATCTTCATATTATTTTTTCAATCGTTCAACTTCACATAAATCATTTTCATATTTTTCAATTTCATCATCATGAACAGCATGAGCTTTTTCAGCAGCAATAAGAGTTTTTCTTTAAAACAAGAAAATAAACATATTTCTTAATTAATTAATAAGTTTTCTCTTTTTTTACTTTGCAAGATCAAGTTTCTTTTGATGATGAGTTGAATTTTCTTTTACTTTAAAATATGTTGGACGATGCTTATTAATTTGTGCTTCCTAAGAATTAAATTATATTTAGAATCAAAAACATGTGTGTTTTTTTTTCTTTATAAAAT